ACACACAAGCTTAAATATCACATGATTTGTCTTACACGAGAAATCCAAAGTAAAATAAAGAGCAAAATAAAAAATAGGTAATAGGAAGTAGGGAGATAGACCTCTCTCAATGGGAAAATCAAGAGATGGAGGGGAGGGAGGAAGGGAAGGGAAACGGGATTTAAAAAAGGAATTAAGATGTAGTACATGTAGCAACTCCCCACAATGAATGTAAACACTATGTACTATAACATGTAAAAATAAAATAATTTTTTTTAAATGCCAGGTATATAGCTCAGCGAGAACATCCTGGGTTCAATCCTCAGTACTACAGGAAAAGAAGAAGAAAATATACAATGCAACTGACATTGACCTTAGCTTACAAAGGATATGAAGACTAAAAATATGTTGGAACTATTCTCAAAGAATAAGCCCATCTGTAATGATATAGAAAATAGTCTACCCCCCAAACTAAGATTGGAGACTGGTGAAAAAATTTTACCTGGCAAATTTAATAAATTAGTGGGTTAACTTTATTGTATTTTATTTATTTATTTATTTGTGTGTGTGTGTGTGTGTGTGTGTGTGTGTTACCAGGGATCGAACACAGGGCCTTGCACTTGTGAGACAGGCATGGTGCCACTGAGCTAAATCCGCAGCCCAGTGGGTTAATTTTAAAACAAATGAAATCTAGATATACCAAAATTTCCTTGGGAAAATATCTATTTTCTGGCTAAAGCTAGCCAGCAAAATTATAAAAATAATATAATGTTTCTAAATAACATGTGCTCACATAATTAAAACAGAAAGGGCATTTTTAAAAATTGATCAATTCTCAATTTTATTATTATTTAGATTCTTAGATGTCTTAAAAGTTTGCTAAATTATCAAAATTTCTCAGGTATTGTAAGAAAAATACTCAAAAGATTTTTACTTTCACTTAAAACTGTATCCCACTTTCCAAAGAATGATGTAAAGACCAAAATACAAGCACATGAACATAAAAGCACACAATACACACACACACACACACACACACACACACACACACACACCAAGAAATTGGTAGAGAATAAGAAATTCAAAATCATTAAATTAATCTTATTGTTAGGGTGGAGAGTCAACTTGATTCTCTTGGGATCCACCCAGGGAATTAGTGGCCACAAGTTTGGGTGTGTGGGTGAATCACAAGGCCTGGCCTTGGAGTCTGTCTGGTTCCTTGCCCTTTCCTCTCTGGAAATGTGGCCCTGCCCTGTTTCCCAGATACTTGAACTATGCTGCTCTGCTCTGCCACACCCCTCAGCTCTGAGGTTTCTGCCTTGGAACCAGCTCAGCCTGTACTGAACCCCCTGAAACTCTGAGGCAAATTAAACCTCTCCTCCTTTCAACCAGGGGTGTCAGGTACTACATTTCAGCAATAAGACAGCTAACTAATAACACTTATGAATGGAGAAAAATGCAAATTACCAGTCTTTTGAGCTCCTGTGACTGAAAATAGTTTCTATTTTCTATTTTTAATAATTTATTGAATAAATTTTTAACTATTTTTATTTTAATTTTCTATTTTTTATTAGTGCATGTTTACAGTAAACAATGATTACATTCTATGTGGGGAGTTGGTACATATATATAACACATCTTAATTGTTTCTCCCTTTCTCCTTTCCTCCCACCCTTCCATAACAAATTTTTTTTTTTGGTACCAGGGATCAAACTCGGGACCTTGCACTTGTGAGGCAGCTGCCAGAACCACTGAGCTAAATCCCCAGCCCCAATAACAAATTTTATTCCTTTTTCATTTGCTCATTCTTGAAGGAAATTCTTTAATATCTAATGCTCATTACCTTAAACACAAGTTTTATAGGTGTGGCATTCTAAAAATGAGTCATTGTCATGAATCTTTATAAAGATGACATTTAACACTAAGTCCACCATACCTACTATGTTTTGTAACATATCATATTATTTAGAGTATTTTTATGTATCAATTCTCAATGAGAATGAAATATATAACATTTAACAACATTCAGTGAAGATATTAGTTAAAACAGATAAGCTAATTAAGTTTATATGTCTCTGTCTTTTTTATCTTGGTAGGTATACCAAGTTCATGGCTGCACATACATCAAGGAATGAAGTAAGGAACCAAAAGAAGAGGTTAGGGAACTTTTATTGGAACTATAAAGAGGAAGACTAGCTCCTGAATTTCCAGGAGGTGTCCCAAATGGGTTGGACCCATGGCCTCTCTATTCAGAGCTAATTATAGATAACCAGAGCACATGAATTGTTCAGTCCTTCAGTGGCCACCTACCACAAGTGGCTCTGTGGATTTAAAATGACCAATTGGAACTCAGGCTTCTAACTCAGCTCTTCAACACATAGGGTTTACAGGACACTGGTATTTTAAGGAAAAAAAAACTGGTTAATTTACATTATAATTTACTCCCAACTCAGGAAGTTAGTAGGGAGGGGTCACACTTCCCTTTAGGAGGGAGCAGGCTGTATTCCATGTGTCTTGAGAAAGTTCATTCTTGGTCCAATGTCCTAGTTCACTGTCTATTCTTATTTTAATTCCCATCAATATTGCTGATTACCCAACTCTTATCTCAAGCCCTTCCCCTAGCTAGCTGCCTCAATCATAAGCTAACTAAACTATTTTCTACAGGGGCACAGAATACAGATTTTCTATTTTTGATATTGTGTTATGGCTTGTATCTAGATGCCCCCTGCAAGCCTCATGCTTTCATAGGTGAGGCTTTAGGGAATGACTAAATCATAGGTGTGTGATACTGAATCATGGGCACAGGATAACTGGATTAGTAAACTAATTGGATTAGTGTAGTTCTAGGTATGGCTGAATGGATTTACTGAAAACAGAAGATCCACCCTGGGTGTGAATGGCACAACCAAAAGGCTTGAAGCCTGGACTGAATTAAAAAGGAAATGGAAGAAGAAGGAAGGCTGTGGCTTCTGGCTGCTTTCTGTCTGCCCTGCCATGGACTGTTTCTTCTCTGTTGAGCCCCTCTGCCATTCTGTTCTGCCTTGGAGTCAGCCAACTATGTACTGAAACCTCTACAAACTGTGAGCCAAAATAAACCTTTCCTCTTTTAACTTGTGGGTATCAGGTCCCAGAGTATGGGAAACTGGCTAGTCTTGGGCCACAAACAAGTTATATTCAAGTCATGCTTAGCCAACATTTAAAACAGGGAGAATTCGTCCATAGTGATTCATCAGTGCCCTTGAAACAAAAGTTCTACCTCATTAGGCCTGCACTCCTGCATGTCTACCTTCAGATGAAGCTGAAAGAGATTGAAGGCCTTAGATAGTAGTTGGATCTATTTGTTTCAGCTGTTGCCTGGGCCCCTTTACTCATTTTCATTACCTTGCCTGGACCTCATTCTGAGAAGACTAAATGGCTAGCATCCATTTTAGAATGAAGGCCTAGAATCAAACAGCTATACTGTGTGGAAGAAGAATGTCAGGATTCACTTCCAAACTAAATCACACTAGTTCTACACACAACTTCTCCAACATTTTGGTTGGAAATAAATAAATGTTCTTAAATTCACAGTCTTAAACTACTGTAAAGGCACATTTTCCTCACCTCTAAATATATTGTACACACACATAAGAACAAATCAAAACATGCTGCTAAAATAAAGTGATAATTGCCTTTGAGTGGGTAGAGAAAAAAAATATCCTTCATAGGATTCTCATTCATGAGATGATTCTTTTAGTATATTTCAGAAAATTCTACTTTAAAAAAAAGTAATGAGTAAATGTCACTGATGGCATGGAAAAAGTAGAATTTTCAAAATTGTGAAAACCTAATTCATTTAGCATAAAATTATGAGATGAGTCAAGAAATATGTTTCTTTCCATTTTTATTAATGTCTTAGAAGTTATTTCTGTGAAATTCTAATTTGATTTTTACAAAGTGACATTTTGTACAGGCTATCACAAAAACTTTTAAAGTACTTATAGCACTTTAGGTATTTTAAAACTGCAACTTGCATTTCAGTAAAATTGAAACCTCCCCTGGCTTCTTTAACTCAGCAGAAATTCCAGTAAGGAATTGTTTTCTATGTTCCCCTTTCCTTGTCAGTGTTTTGATATTTTTATTTAAAGGGTTCACAGAGGATATTCTGATTAAGAGAAGAGAAAACTACTTTTGTAATTAGCAGAGAAATGTCTTTAGAAAAAACTGATTTCTGGAAAGTTTGCAATGCTCCTGCAGACGTCACTGCCACTGAAAACTTGGCAGATGTCTAATTATTATTGCAGTTTTTCAAAAAGCCTTTTTATGACTCACCAAGACTATGAAATCAGTTCCATTAAAAGACCTATCCTATATTATTCTGTCAGAATATCCTGATTTATATGTTATCTTCTGAGACTCATTGTGTTCAATCTGCCTCTGCCACAAACATGGCGATCCATCTTGTTCTCATAACTCGCTGCGGTTTCCCTCTTCCAACTCTCCCACCCTCCACTCATCAGAGCCTTTGGGGCAGTAAATAACAGTTGTTCCCTTTAAGAGGTAGACAGAATAATCATATTTCCAGGGACTCTTAAAACAGCTAATGTCACCATAGTCCATTTGTAATAAATGGATATTCAGTTCTTCTATGCTATAAAGCCAACTACAATGATTATGCGAGTCTACATTCACAGCTACCTGATTAAAATAGCTCACAAAATTATTAGTCTTCAATACTAAGTTCAACAAATGTCCATTTTGTCCTTAGCATTATTTTCTTAAAGCATATAAGCTTTTTAAATCAAAGTTATTAATATAATTTAAATCTGCCTAAAATGCACAGTTACTAATGAATTGTAAGGCTAATTTTGAAATTTGTTTCAAGTATTTTATAAGAAAAAACTTTTAAAGTGCGCTAAGGGAATGAAAGGGACATGAATCCAGTCATTCTGATGGAAGTTGAATATTTTATTATAAATATCAACAAAAAATAGTTAAAATAATTCAGTCTGAGTCAGATTTACAAGAATCAGAGAACTTACCCAACCCAAATAATATACTGACTGTAGCTCCTCAGCTTCTGCTGTCCTTTTAGCTTGAGCTTGGTATGTCCTTTTAGTCCAAAGTACAGAAGGTCTCTGAATGACATTCTTAAGTGCTTCAGAGTTAGGGGTATTTCAAATCCAAGATGATTCAATTACACCCCAGAGAACTACGTGATTTGCATGATATTCTCCAGTGAAACTTCTAGATCCTGGGTTCTTTTTCCTATGGGTAATTCCTAGCCAGGGATAACCCACCAAGGAAATTTAAGAATTAAGTTCTCTTTTTCTAGCAATTATTAATCTGTTTACACAAAAGACCAGTTGAGAGAATGATTACACAAGGTCATCTGCCTCCTTACATTTCTCTGGGGCAAAAAAAAGGAAATGGATAACAGTGCAACTGGTTAAAGGACTTTTCCCAGAGTCCCAGTGACATTTTGGAAGAAGTCCAAATACCCAAAACTAGATGACTTTTGAAAATTTCCATCCCAACCTTGGTAAAATACAAACTTTAGAACCATGAAATCATATGAATTGTAATGACACATTAATATGGAGTCTCAAAAGACTAGAGTTCAACTCCACATATTGTACTGTAAATTATCATTAATGTTTCACAAATATCAAGGCATGTACATATTTCCTATAATAAACACAATGGTCTAAAGATGGAGTTGTTTTTATTATTTAGTTTTGTATTTAAGAAGTAAATTAAAGTACAGATTTCCTGAAACTACATTGAAACCTGAATTTATAAAAAACCCAGGCAAGTTTTCTGCCTTCTTTAAATTTATAATTTAAAATGACATAACTATTTTAAAAATAGGCAGACAGTCATACTATGATCAGAGAGGGCCAGGATGTTGTCGAAAGCCCACAGCAACAATGTCTAATAAAAAATTAATAGTTTGGGATAAGTTTCACAAGGAAAAGATGATCTGAAGAATTTTTAAAAGAAACCCAAAGGCTCAATTATGCAATGGAATGTAAGTGCTATTAATAAATATGAATTTTAGCAAGAGAACAATAGTTGGCACTGAAGAATGCTAGGTAGAAGTGTGATATGCCTCTTAAAAAGACAACATCTACAACATGGGGCCAAATCACATTAAAGTTTGAGAGACAAAGTAGGAGACTATTGCAGGAATCCAGGTAAGAGATGAGGATAGCCTAAATTTGGGTAGTAGGAGTGGACTGGTTTGAGAAATTTGTAAAAAACTGAATAGCCAGAACAACGAAACCAAGTGGACATGAGGGTTGAGGAGAAAAAAGTCCAGTAGAGTACCCTACCCTACTCTAAAGACTTTGCCATTAACTGAGGTTAAACACATTTAAAGATGCATGTACAAACACATACATGCACACACATGCACACACACAAAGTGAGCTGCAGAGGAAAATCATATGTGTATGTTTTGTTGTGGGTCAAATCGGAAGAATCAGAATAACCACATGTGTGTCCTATAACAAATCTGATGTAAAAAAAAAACTGCTTGAAAGTATTTACTGTATTTGGAAATGACTAGTATGTACTAAGTAGGTGGAAATTAAAATCATAGGGTTAAATGTAATTTGAGGGGAAATTCTTCATTAAGAAACAAGAGAACGAAGCATAAGAATTACATTATCAAATAAAAGAGAACATGTAAGAAAAAAATCAACCTAGTGTAGTGTCATAAAATCCCAGGAGGAAACACTTCAAGAAGGGTATTTCAGCATCAGTAAAATATACTGAGAAGCCTCTGAAAAATAACATGTATTCTCTAAGGAAATTTTGATAGAAGAAATGTTAATGGAACCTTGGGGAGGCAGAAACCAGTTGAATTAAAGGAGAAATGAAGGAAGATGTTAACAAGCTAAGGAAAACAGACAACCATTTCCAGAAAGTTGCCTGAAAAGGAAAAGATAAATAGAGCACTGGAAAAAGACAATAGGGTAAAGAAAAATGTTACCTTGTTTTGCTTAGCTTATTTAGTTCTATAACAAGACTGATAACCTTATTTAGAGATTGATGGAAAGAAAACAAAGAAGAGACAAAAAAAAAAGTGCATAGAACATATTTCCTAGAAAAACAAATGGAAGGCTCAGTTTTGGGAAGAAGGAATGAATGTCAGAGAAGAGAGTATCACTTGGTTTATTTGTAGAGGAGAGTTTCTACTTTATACAAACATGTTCTCATTAAAACAAGATATTCAGCCCTCTGCTGAAATCAAAGGGGGGAGATAAAAGGGTTTGAGGATAATTAAAAACTTCAAAATCATATTTTGTGGAAATTAGAAAAAGGTCTGCTAAGTTGAAATATAAATAAGAAACAAAAAAGTTTGGAAGTGTTGGAAAAATAATTTTTTGATAGATTAGAGAGTAGAGGGATTACTAAAATATGAGTTACTCCCTGTTGGAATATTCCTTGAAACCATAGAAAATTTTATCATATTTTTATAATACTTAAAATCTTACCTCGGGGCCAGGGATTTAGCTCAGTGGTTCCGGCGCCTGCCTCCCAAGCGGAAGGTCCCAAGTTCGATCCCTGGTACAAAATAATAATAATAATAATAATCTTACCTTGGAATACTCATTTCTATCATTTACATAGTTCAGGAATTATGATAATTAAAAGAAGTGGCAAGTTATAGTTTGCAAAAATACTCCTCAGAATTCTCCTATATTTATGTGACAAATAGTTTCCCATCATATCAAAAGATCTCTCATGAGAGCTGCCCCCAGCACCAAGGAGAAGCCTTCTGGGCTTCCATACCACTGCCCCTAGCTCCCAAGAGCAGAGCCTCCCCCAGTACTGAAGAGGAGCCTTCTGGGCCACCTTACTGCCACCCGCAGCACCAAGAAAATGAGCCGCAAGGATGCCAGTAGCACACACTCCACCCCTCCCCTAGAAATGAGAAGACATGTAAACAAATCTCAAAACCAGACTTCCAGATTACCTAAAGAAACCCCAAGGGACATGAGATAGAACAATCTGGTATACAACCTCTTAGAATTCCTGAACTGGCAACAAAAGAGGATCTGGAAAAAATGAAATCAGAAATAATTTCTCAGATAAGAGCAGGGATTGTGCTCATAGTGCAAGACATGATGAATAAATCTAGAGAGGACACAGATGAAACAAACAGAGAAGCTGAGGAAGATGATGGAATCCCAACATAGGAAACAACTGCAATTCATAAGACACATGCAAACAAATTTCCAGGAGATTAAAAACTCCATTGAAAGTTTACATAGCAGAATGAAACAATGTGGGGACAGAATTTCAGATATAGAAAATAAGATTACAATTAGTGACCAGAAAAAGGAAAATTTCTTCAAAATAGTAAGGGACCATGAGAAATGCATCCCGCAGCTACTAGATGATGCAAAGAATAATAACATAACAGTGATCAGAGTCAATGAAGAAACAGGAGAGAGTGTAGACAACATAAAAAAAAAAAACTATTCACAGGAGTGATGGCAGAAAACTTCCCAAGCAGGGGAAAAGAACTTGGCAAGTGAGGCAGATAGGACTCCAACAAGCCTTGCTCAAAAAAAAAAAAATCTACTCATAGGCACATAATTGTTAAGATTCCAGAAACCCAACAGAAGAACAAAATTCTACAAGCAGTGAGAGAAAAAGAAACAAATCACATACAAAGGAAAGCTCATCAGAATCACAGCAGACTTCTCAACGCAAACCCTCAAGGCACAAAGAGCTTGGAGTGACATATTTCGAGCCCCCTAAAGAAAGCCTCCAACTCAAATCGATGTACCCTGCAAAACTATCTTTCAAAACTGATGGAGAAATAAGACACTTTCATGATAAAGAGCACATTAAGAACTTCATGAATACCAAAACAGCACTCCAAAAAATTTTAGACAATGTCCTAGGAAAAGACAATGAGGATCACAAACCCAGGAAGCCCAACAGAATGAATCCATCGGGCATGACAAGAAATTAAATGTAAAGGGGGAGAATCTAACAAAAAGAAAAAGTCATGACACTGATAAGTCAATATGTATCAGTTATAACCATCAATGTTAATAGTCTCAATTCACCAATCAAAATAAATAGACTGGCAGAATGGGTCAAGAAGCAAGATCCAACACTATGCTGCATACAAGAAACACATTTAATTCGAAAAGAAACTCACAGACTGAAATTTAAAGGGTGGAAAACAATACTCCATGAGACAGGAACCCAAAAAAAGCAGAAGTAGCTATCCCCTTTGAAGATCAAGTGGACTTCAAACCAACAATGATTAAGAGAGATAAAGAAGGATACTATATCCTTGCAAAGGGAACAATCCAAGAGGAAGGAATGACAATCACAAATATAGATGCACCAAACATTAGCACCCCCACCTATATAAAACCAATACTAATGGACATGGAAAAGTCATAAAACCACTAATACAATAGCAGTGGGGTACCTCAATACCCACTGTCACAAATAGATAGATCAACTAGACAAAAAATAAGTAACAAAATAGTAGAACTCAATCAAACTCTTGAACAATGAACTTAACAGATGTTTACTGAGTGTTCCACCCCACAAAATAAGAATACACATTCTTATCTGCTGCACACGGGTCATTCTCCAAAATAGACCACATACTCACTCACAGAACATGTTTAATTAAGTGCAAACGAACTGAAGTTGTCTTCTGTATATTATCAGACCATAGTGTGATGAAATTGGAGATCAATAGCAAAA